ATCTCCTTAAATAAATGATAAGAAACCAGTGTAAGTTCAAAAAAAGAGTAGCGCTGCAAACCAGACAGCAGGCTTTGGGTCAAAACCATCCCATGCAGAAACCTCCCTCCCAGCGGCTGTAAGCACGGCAAGCTTCAGCCTTGGCAGGGGAAGAGACGAACGTGTCCTTTCCGAGGAAACCTTTTCAGCACGTCAGCAGCCTTAGTTTGGGGTTTGTGCTTAGTGGGAAGTGGAAGGTGGGTGAGGCTGGGCTGTAGGAATTCTGTGAAGATGGGTGCTTGACCTTTGCCTTGTCTTAGGTGTTCCTGGGGCCGGTGGGAGCTGGCCGGCGCTGCGCTCCTACCAACCTGGCCGCGGTCAGGAGGTCCAGCGGGGAGGCCCAACTGTGATTGGGGTTGTCTTCAAACTGCGCGAGCTGGCCTTGCTCCCCTCCAAATGGGTGCTTGCCAGGGCTTTCCCCTTTTCCTGGAAAGAGGTGGTTTGGGCCGTAGTTTCCAAGTGTTGTGGGAGGATCTCACTGGGGCGCTTCTGCCCTGGGTTCATCGTGGCAGTGAGGTGGTTAAAAAGCTGCTGATCTCGGCATTACGTGCAGAGGTGCAGAGGCCCTGTAGAAGAACTTGAGCTTCAGACACCTGTGTCTTGTTTAGTTGCAGAGATTGTGAAAAAGTGCATTTTGGTTGGGCTCCTGCTGCGTTCCTTGTTTTTCATTCTGCCTTGCAAAGGAGATTGATGTGGCCTGGGTGCCTCTGGGTCAGCAGTCTTGCTCTTGCCTTTTGAGTACTCTGCAGATGACTTGCAGGAAAGCAAGAAGGCCACCATATGGTACAGTGCATTACAGTAATTAACCTTAAAGTGATGAATGTTCAGGCCAGGACTGTGGCGTCTGTCAAAGTGAACCTAGCAGTTTGGCAGGGGCTGGCTGGTGAAGGGTTAGATGGGCCGTGGGGCTTAAACGGTAGCCGAGAGGAAGCACTACATCAAAGATGATACCTAACTCCAAGATAATTAAGAAGTTGGGCCAGTGTGAAGAATGCCAGCGAACGATGCAGTGCCAATATCCGAGCAAACAAGGGCAATCCAAGGACCAAAGTCAGAGCCCAGATTAATATACTTTATGACTCTTAACAAGGCTGGGTTCACTATGGTGTCCTGATTAAAAGAAGAGAGATGGCCAGGTATTTTGGCTGCACTCAGCTGCGGAGGCTTGAGATGTTAATGCTCAGTTGGCTAGCAAAGACGGGGTAGGATTTTTGCTATATTAAAGTTAATGCTAACATTTATTTAGATAATTGTTCGGATTTTTCCTAGGGTGTCTGAAACCTTTACAAGCAGGTTATTAGGATGCTAAATCAGAATGAGATCGATTGGAGGGAGAGAGAGAAGGTGATTTTTAGGCGCGTTAAATTACTATATTTGCATAATAAATAAGCTTGGAGAAGAAGAGTGAGGACAGAGCATGCATTTAAGAGAGAGGGACGGCTGCAAACTCTGAGTTGAAAATGCAGTTTAGGTTCCTCTAGGTTTCTGCGCACTATGAACACCTCTTAATTCAGCAGTGCTACTTTCTGCAGAAGAGGTGTGGAAATGGGCTGCTGCTCGTGCTTCCCACGGAGGAGCGCAGTAGAGACTGTGCACAGGGGCCCTTGTCTGGAAGAGTTCCCCAAAGAGCCGCCGTGCGTTTTACTGCACGGAGCGTGTGCACCCCAAGGAACGGCTCCGGGGGAAGGTGGGACACGAGGCAGAGGTTTGTAGCACCCACCTGTTGCTTTAGCAGCGGCAACGGATTATTGCTAACTTCAGCTCTGCCGAAGCAAAGCGTACAGCTCGTTTATATCCAAGACTAGCAGAAGTGAAAAATGAGGAAATGAGAAGAAAGCAAAGCACTTTACAAGGATCCCGATGTTGCAAGCATTCTTATGCCTGTATTGAGCTCCATACACGAGCGGTCCCATTGATTTCCTTCTGTGTGAGGGCTTTTGGAATTGGGGTTGAAGTCTAGAAGACCATGCCTTACTACCTTGTCTTAGAAATACAAGATGGAAAAGAAATGACACAGACTGGCTTGTGCATGAGTCAAAAGTCAGTGATTTGATCTGGTTTATGCATGGTTAATTAGTTATTTAAAAAAAAAAAAAAAGTCTTGTGAGGTTGACAATGCAGGAAGTATAAGATTAAAACTCATTTAACTTAAAGGCAAAACCAAATTAACTCATTAGTACTTTCAGGTGTGGAGTTCTGTGCTGTGTTGCTCTGACAGTGAAAGCTATTGCTGTTTATCATGACAGTTGTGCCAGTAAAAGCAGAATCTGCTCAGAAAAAAGCCTGTATGTTTCCACTGAGATTTTGCCTAAGTAAACATTTCCATATCCGATATGAAGAAAGCATTATTTGTATTAAAAGAATAACATACAAATGGAGTGGAGAAGTAGCTTGATACCTTAAAAAAAGGATGTTTTGCAACCAGGGTCATAGAAATTGTACTTCTGAGATAATGTTTTTCTGTATCGCATCCCTCAGCAGTACCAATAGGCATCATCTGACATGACAGATTGCTGAAACAGATGTGGTAAAACTGACACATGGAGTTAATAATATTTAATATAAATCTCTCAATGATATCATCCCAAGAAATGAGCTGACTGAAAAATGGCTCAGCCAGAAACCAAGAAACTGGTCTCTTGAGTTCTTAATGTTTTCATATAAATCTCTCAAGTGAGCTTTAACTGAAGCAACAGATTCTTAATGTGCTCGGTCATGCAGGAGCAAACATTTCCTTGCCCATGCCTTGCAACAAGATGGTCTTCCTAGATCTGAAAGGCTGCAGCATCTCATTATTGGAGAAGGACATCTGCAGTGGTTGGTTTTAGAGCAGCTGGGGTTAAACCAGTAGGGCAAAAGTTGGCTCAGGTGGTATAGTACACTGACCACCCGACACATGAATCTTTTGTGTAAATTAACAGCAATCTAGCTTGGGTTCAAAGCCAAGACTTCAATACATCCATCAAATTTGCCTTGTTATGGTTGTAAAACAGGACAATCGAACATTCTCAACCTGTAGTGTTAAGATTGCCTGGGATGATACATTTCCCTTTTGTAAGGTAATTGGGCTCAGGTGCTTTGTATAGTATTTTTTCAATTCTACTATTTAGGTTTGTTCCTTTGTTACATTGCTAGTGTTAAGTGTTTCATAGCAGAAGACAGCAGCTCAGCCTCGAGGCTAGCTCAGTGCTTTAAGGCTCAGGAAGCCTGGAGTTTATTCCTTATTCTACTGCTAAGCCGAATCTGTTGAATTCTTGTATTCTTCACACATCTCCATTTATTTGTTATATCTGCCGTATTGCTGTGCTACAAATCTTCACCGAGTTGTTTTGTGTATAGAGGTTTGAGCAACTTCACTGAAAACTTCAATATTAATGTATTTCTTATACTGTTATTTGGCTATTTCCCCTTTAGTGTGTAATACAGATCATTAGGAGGTGTGCCACAGACGTTTTCATTTTGGTTGTGTACAGTTATGCTCTGCTATGAAGTGGTGGCTTTGCTGCAAATGATGTTATTTCTTCTGCTTTTTGCAGGACCCTGCGGGAATATTTGAACTGGTGCAGGTTGTTGGCAATGGGACATATGGACAAGTCTATAAGGTTTGGATGCCTCTTTAATTTACGATGCTGTTCTTGATAAAGCTGTTTTTCCTAAAGCAGAAATGAGCACCATTTAAGAAGGTGGACGATATTGTTCCAGAAATAGCCTGTTTTATCTTGCTGTCTTTTCTGTGTAATGCAAAATGGTGTCACCGGTGAAAAGTGTTCTTTCACTGCAAAGCCTTTCCTAAGAATGATCTAAGAAGGGAACACAGACGTGATAAAATAGGGAACCGAGTCGGTGTTGTTCCCATTTGGAGAAAGAGGACAGAGGAAGGACCAGGCTGTGCCTCTGAACCCTTGGAGGTACCTCAGAAGGATAATGGCACTGGGGGAAGCTGTCTGGTCTTGCTTCTCCCTCGGGTCCCGCTGCCGACAAGCCACTGCATGCCGCGTCTTTGTATCGGTCCAGGCTCTTTCTGCATTGATCCCCTACTGCAGGAAGAATGCAGAAGGGGGACCTGATGTAGAAAAGCAGGAGGGCTGGTTGTCTTTCTCCGATCGCAGTTCGTTGAATGTATGTTACGTTTTGGTGTCCGTCCTCTGGTGGCAGATCTGCTGTGGTCGCATTTCGGTTTCCCTTCGAAGCTAGAGATACTCTTTCAAAGATTCTGGAAAATCCTCTACAGAAGCAGTTCTGGGGAGTTTCTGGTTTCCCATACTACATTTTTAAAATTTATTTTTATATCAGAAGCAGGATCTTTCTCATGTAACTCTTTGTTGCTGTGATTAAGTCTGTGTTGTTTCTGAGATTGTCATTCAGATACTGAGGTCAGTACTACTAAATTAAAAATAGAGGCTCAGGCGTTCACATGGACAGATTAGAAGCCCGGAGACATTCAGGGGTGCTGTTTTCGGTGTAATCACAGAGTTTTCTACCTGTGAAAAGATCCTAAAGCTCCCAAATGGCCTCTGAAATAGCTGCCTTTCTTTTCACGCCTGGATTTATTTTATATTGGGAGAGAAAAAATTTAAATCTAGTCATCTTTTAGGGATGTTGGGAGTGAATCAGCTGCTTAATCATGGCAGAAATGGGAAAGAGCCACATAGTTTGCTTCTCTGCTGCAAAAGAAAATGTGTGCTATCGTGTGGTTCACTAGAACGTTAGTTGCCAAAATGTGTAAGAAATATTAACAATGACAATTAAAAATTGTACCCAAAGGCTGCTCTCCGCTGAGCACGCAGGAGACCAGGGTCTGACAGCTCTGGATAATGGGTGATTTGAATCTCAGCTCATTCTGCACTTGGACTAGCTGCAACTTCTAAGCAAGGCACTGAGAGACAGGGTCTTGCAAGGCTGAGGGCAAGCTTTGTGCACATGCATCACGCGATGGAGAGATGATGGACTGTGTGTAACCCTGGCTCTGTGCGAGCACACCCATAACAAAGGCTTTGTTCATATAAATACATACGACCACTGAATATAGGGTGTTTTGCCAAGGCTTGTTTAGGGGATGGAGCTGCTCTTTGTGGGAGGATGACAGTGAACCATGCAGCTGAAGAAGACAAATGATGACAGCTAGGGTGGACAGATACAAAGTGTGTGCTCCAAACTGCAGGCGGTCAGCGTGGTCTCCCTTGTGAACGGTTTTCACACAGTCCAAAGCTCCAGTGTGTTTGGTAATACCTCTGCAGAAGATGCTGAGCACCAACTGAACGTACTCAGGTGGTATCCCCCTTGTGCTGGCCTTGCAACCAGAGCAAATGTTGGTTTTCTCTGAAGGAGGGCAGCTGCAATGGAACAACTGCTTCTGAAGTGACTATGAAAAGTTAGGCTATGGTATTCACTTCTTTCTTTTTTTTTTTTTTTTCACTGTTTTGTATTTTTTCCTTTGTTCTATACAATGCTAGGACCGATGGAGTGAATTAAGGAATGCTGGAATCATTTTGTAGTTTGTCTTCTGCTCTTATAAGAAAATTAACCCTCAACGCGGTTCTTGAGGGAGTATTTAAAAATATTTGTTTTTTTTTTCCTTTTTTTTTTTTTTTTTTTTTTTCACTGCTGTGTAATATGTCCTTCGATCTATACAATGCTAGGACCGATGGAGTGAATTAAGGAATGCTGGAATCATTTTGTAGTTTGTCTAGTATAGGCTTGTGATCATAAATATTTAAGTTATAAAGTAATCTCAGTTATCCACATGACGTACTCATGTCATTAGAGCACATTTTTATTCTCCAGAGGTGTCAGAATCTTCCATACATCCAGAAATAGATACACATAGTAGTTTGCACATAATCAAAGCAAAGCTTATTTCAGGCTAAATAAACTATGTCCAAGATTACTAAATTGCTTGGTTGGCTGTGAAGATGATTCATAAGGCTATATGTTTTAATATATGCAGCTCCATAAAAATGAAAATAAAATTTAGAGGATTCATCATTAGATTTGGAAAACAATTTTTAACAGATTTATTGAAGGAGAATATTGTTCATACTGAATTATTCCAGACCAGTTCCAGTTCAGTGTCTTTTTAAATGAAATGGGGGGGGTATAAATTCTACCCATGATAATGTTAGAGCTGTCTAGAAATGTTATAAAGTTGGGATTTGCATATAATAACTGACTACAAGCTCGCAGATTTTTTGAGAGCTTATGAGGTAGTAGGACATAAATATACCAGTACTGGCAACTTCAGCCTTTTGGAAAGTATGAATTAGATATTAAAAAATCAGATGGTACCCAGAAGTCAGACTTAGGCTTTGTTATCTCTTGAAATGACAGATGAGTTTTTCAGTTAATTGCTGGCTTCCGGGAGCTGAAATCTGAAGAACAATACTATGCAAGAGGTGACTCTGAATAATGTCATGGAAGGTGGTAGCAGAGTCTTCTCTGAAGGCAGTTGGAAGTAGTGCATTTGCTGGTGGTTGGAGAAGTAATGTGTTTACTCTTTCGTGCTGTTTCCTGAACTTTGAAGTGCTGAAGGTCAGATTGTGTCCAGTCTTTGCACCATCTCCATTGAATACGGGAAGGTTTCTGAACTTCCCATGCACTGTTTTTTGCAAGGGCTGTCCATCTTCCTGGGAACCCTCAAGGCCAGGGACCACAAAGACTGTGCGGGGAATGTGGGGTTGCTCTCCAAAGTATGAGGGCCAGCATTTTAATTTTTGGCTTTTTTTAATCTGCTGATCAGTAAGGATGACCTTCAGACAAAGCGGAGCAATGTTTTGCATCCTGTAACTGTTGGTGTTGTCTAGGAGGAAGCAAGATGGCTGAAGGTGTCACCCGCAAGTTCTTGAGTTTCGCTTCCTCCCCGGGCTGCAGCCGCGGTGCCGTGGAACCCCCTCTTACAGGCTGCCCGGGCAAGCTTGAATCGGGCGCTGTTTGGGATTGCAGTAAAACTGCAGAAAACGACGTAGGAGATTTATAAATACAATCGTTTTTATTTGCTAGTAGTTGCTACGCTGTTGTCACATGCTGTACTGATAAAGGTGGTACCTTTGAAAGCACTGTGAAGCTAACGTCTGTGGCTATGTGGGCTGCTCTTGGTGTGCTTCAGGCTGTATCTTGCAATGTAGGTATGGCTGTCGAGACCTGACAGTGTTGTGATTTGAGTGGCTCTTTGCCTACTCCCATTACCTCCAGAAGTTTAATTATATGAATGCCTTGTTTTCCTTCCACGGTTGGACTCTATTGCTATGAAGAGCTGGATAGTGATCATGTATCATCCTTGACGTAGAACAGTTGTATCTTGGTCTGTGCTTGTGCATTTAGTAATAACTAAACTGCAAGTTTGGGGGGGTGAAATGCTGTTTTTGCAAAGACTTCAGCTGTTAGTTTCATATTCTTTGAGTGATGTGTCTTCAGTAGGAGCCTGTTAATGCATTTTCTATCTTTTAATTTTCACTGCAGGGCCATTTTTCTAATGGGTGAATGGGGAAAGGGAGAGATGGGGCAACTGAAGTGGGTGCCATTTTTGAAGTGTTTGGGTCAGACAACTGCTCTTGAGCTCTGGAAGAGACTGTGGGACTTGGAGCTTATAGCTGCTTTGGTTTTCTAGTTATCAAGATAAAGAGGAATTGCTCCTAATCCTACTCATTCAGCTGTGCTCTGAGAGTCCTCATCCTTCTAAAGAAGTTTTTCTGGGCCAAATGAGGTCATCAGCAGCATCTGTGCAATCTGCTTGTTTTCTGATGTTGAGAGGCACCTGCCTGGAGCTTTTGACTTCCTCTGTCTTAATGATGTGGATTAGCCCTTTCTTGGGGTCGGCATTTTTGAGTGGCCTAGGGAATGAGAGGTCGGTGGCTTTGGCGAGTTCCAGGGGTTGATGTTTTTTGGAGTATGATCATGCACGCTGATGATAAACTGTGACAGATTTGCAGCTGCTGTGCGTGCAGAATGGTGGTATCTTTAATGGAGTCTGAGGGCGCAGGGGACTTGAGAGAGGTGCTCTGGTTTGGGACTGTGAGAATCAAAAGGGAAGAAGTGGCTTCCTGGTAATGCAACTGATGAAGATGAAGCAGTGCTGTTGCTGAGGCTTAGCAGAGGGTGGAAGCAACGCTGCCTTCCTGTAGCGGCTCTGCACAGCTAATATTTTTATTTCTGTGTAGTCACATAAGACTCTGGATTCGTAAGGGAAGCAGGTCTGAGTAAGGAAGTGTTTTTGGGTTGTTGATTTTTTTTTTTTTTTTAATACAGCTGCTTCTTGGCATTGAATCATGCTTCAATTGTTGGCATGAGTTATGAGTTACTCTACTGTTGATGTACAGTGGCAGGAGTGTAGTGAAGCATAAATATGACTTCTCAGTTTTATCTTAAACAATTTGAAAATCTTTGAAGTTCTTAATAATTCAGTTCGTTGAATAACTGGCTGAAGTAATTGAGACCAAGTTGGGAGGGGCGGGGGGAAGCAACATGGTTTTTTTGAGACTTGGTACTGCGCGGAAAGAATCACAAGACCATGCTAAGTTATGAAGTGTTAAAGTCTGTGGACTGTATTGAAAACATTAATTGATGGTAGCGCCTCAGGCAGTTACTGGAAGGTTAAATGTAAGAAACA